ATGACATAATTGTCAAGGCATAAACTGAGAATGAACATATCGAGAACCTGAGAAAATTCTTCCAAAGATTGAGGAAGTTCCAGCTACGATGAAACCCTAGTAAGTGTACTTTCAGGGTAATATCTGGGAAGCTATTAGGCTTCGTGGTCAGCAGAAAAGGTATCGAGGTCGATCCCGATAAAGTTAAGGCTATCCAGAGTTTACCTCTACCATGAACACAAAAAGAGGTCCTAGGTTTTTTGGGCAGATTGAACTACATAGCACGGTTCATATCTCAGTTAACCGACAAATGTGACCCGATCTATCGTCTTCTCCGAAAGAATAATCCAGAAGCATGGGACGAAAACTGACAGATTGCATTCAAAAAAGTAAAGGAGTATTTGTCTCGCACTCCTATCTTGATGTCCCCTATCCCGGGTAAACCTTCATTCTTGTATCTCTCCACATTCGATAACTCAATGGGGTGTGTCCTGGGTCAACATGACGAATCTGGAAGAAAGGAAAGAGCCATCTATTATCTGAGCAAGAAGTTCACCGATTGCCAGGTCAGATATCCTCCTATCAAGAAAGTTTGTTGTGCTTTAGTCTGGGCTACAAAAAGACTTAGATAATACATGATGTACCACACCACTTGGTTGATTTCCAAGCTAGATCCCTTAAAGTACATGATGGGTGTGCATGCTCTATCTGGAAGGTTAGCCCGATGACAGATGCTATTGTCTGAATTTAACATCGAGTATGTGAGCCAAAAATTTATAAAATGAAGTGTCATATCGGATTTTTTGGCAAGCAGAACCGATGAAAACTACGAACCTTTGGACTTTGACTTCCCAGACGAGGACCTGATGGCTATCACCTTAGAAGATGCAAGTACTTCTACAGACGATTCCTGGAGAATACATTTCGATGGTGCATCAAATGTATTAGAACATAGCATCGGGGCAATCCTGATCTCTCCAGAAGGGAATCATTACCCATTCACAAGCAGACTGAACTTCGATTGCACAATAACATGGCAGAATATGAAGACCATATCTTGGGAATTTGAGCTGCACTGGGACAAAACATAAAGACCTTGTGGATATACAGAGATTCGACATTAGTAATCTATCAGCTCCGTGGAGAATGAGAAACCAAGGATGCAAAGCTAATGGAATACTGGAAGCTAATACTGGACATGTTCGAAGAATTTGATGAAGTCACCTTCCACTATGTGCCAAGAGAAGACAATCAAATGTCTGATGCTTTAGCTACCTTGGCAGCCACATTCAAGGCTGGCGGGGAGTTTGAAATGATGCCAATTGACATTCAGTCATATGAGTACCTGGCTCATTGCTACCAAATTGAAGAAGTGAAAGACACTAAGCCCTGGTACCACAATATTTTGCAATACATCAAGCATTGAAGTTATCCATAAGAAGCCACCGAAACCGATAAAAGAACTATTAGAAGGATGGCAGGTGGATATATCCTTGACGGGACGGTCTTGTGCAAGAAGAGCCATAATCAAGTCCTATTAAGGTGCGTCGATGTTGAAGAGACAAAAATGATAGTAAAGAAGTACATGACGGAGTTTATGGGGCACATGCAAATGGACATATGATGTCGAGGCAAATCATGAGATGCAGATATTTTTGGTCCACACTTGAAAGTGATTGCATCAACTATGCTAGAAGATATCATAAATGTCAGATTTATGGAGATAAAATAAATGTTCCACCTCATCCGCTTCATGTCATGATGTCACCATGGCCTTTCTTTGTGTGGGCATGGATGTTATCGGGCAAATACATCCGAAGGCTTCGAATGGTCACCATTTCATTCTTGTAGCAATTGATTATTTCACGAAATGGGTAGAGGCTGCGTTATATGCCAGTGTCACTCAATCCACTATTTGCAAGTTTTTGAAGAAAGAGATCATATGTTGGTATGGTCTACCTAAAAGGATCATTACTGATAATGCTACAAACTTGAACAACAAAATTATGGATGCTTCTTGTGAGCAATTCAACATAAAGCATCACAATTCTACTGCTTACATACCAACGATGAACGGAGCAGTAGAAGCAGCAAACAAAAACATCAAAAAGATAGTGGAGAAAACGACCGAGACTTACTGAGACTGGCATGAAAAGTTGCCTTTTGCTTTGTTCGTTTACCGAACCTCGGTACGAACCTCGACTGGGGTAACCTCATTTTTACTAACTTATGGAATAGAAGCAGTGCTTCCCATTAAAGTAGAGATTCTGTCACTCCGGGTCTTGACAGAAGTCAGACTGGATGATGCAGAATGGATACAATCCAGATATGACTAGCTTAATCGGATAGATAAAAAGAGACTGAAAACCATTCATCATGGTCAAATCTATTAGAAACGAATGATTAAAGCACATGACAAGAATGTGCGCCCGAGAATATTTTGCGAAGGAAATATGGTGCTAAAGAGAATTTGGCCAGTCTTGAAAGATTTCCATGGAAAATAGACGTCGAATTGGGAAAATCCTATGTCATGAAAAAGCCTTTTCCGGAGGAGCCCTTGTCCTAGCTGAAATAGAAAGACCTGAACTACCGCATCCCATCAATTCGGATGCAGTCAAAAAATACTTCGCTTATGATGAAAACCCGAGAGGGCATCCTAAGTCGGAAAAAAACATTTAGGGTGAAAACCCGAAAGGGCGCCCTAAATGAAAAAAGAAAAAAAAGAAAAATAAAATAAGGTGGGTTCAAGATGAAAACCCGCAAAGGGCGTCTTGCAACTTAGGATGGATCCAAGTTGAAAACCCGAAAGGGCGATTCGGATAATTCATGAAATCCAGACAGTGGAAACATCCCGGCATCTGAATCTTCTACAAACTCAATGAGTTGGAGAAAGGTTGCACTATCTAGAATGTTGTCGTATTTTCGAAGATTCCTTGACAAAGGATGCGTTCAAGGTCACCTAACGGCTTTTCAGCTCAGAAGTACCCGCATTATTGAGATCTAAGACATTCATTCATTCTTCATTTATGTATTCATTTTCTAGAATGTTTGTCATGTATTATTTGTTATTTTTCCCTTATGAATGAAAACAATATTTTCTCTAAATCAATTCTCTTTGAGCATCTTAGATTGAATTTAAACCTAATGATTCGTTTACTTCTGCAAAAGATAATCGCATATTACTGTACAAAGATTCGTTGAAAAGTACACGTACCCGGAAGCCGATCAAGGCTCATGCACATACTTGAGATGGTCGAGAAGCATTTCCCAAATCAAGAAAAAAATAGAATGTGCACATTAGATTTGAACGTTGAAGAATTCAAGACCAGGAATCAGAACTTCAAGATTCTAAAAGCACGAATCCAGACAGACAACTGGAGATCGATATTTCTCTCCAGAGCCCAAAATAACATATGTTGCATATGCATTTTAGGTATACCTAAGAGCATGGCATTCATATCATCACATATATACATCACTTTGCAGGTTTTAGCTAGAGCCAATTTCAACTTCGCAGCGAAGGATATTAGACTCGAAACGACACAATTTGCTCGAGAGTAGATTTCAACTTCACGACGAAGGATATCTAACTCGAAGCTAAACTTCACAACGAATGGGTCATCCATGGTTTCAACTTCACGGCGAAGGGAATCGTGTCCACCCACAACATACAATACTTGGATTTCAACTTCACGACGAATGATATTCAAGTCAAGGCTCAACTTCACGACGAAGGGGCCATCCACGATTTTAACTCCATGACAGAGGATATCGTACCCACACATCCACGATTTCAACTCCACGAACGGAGGATATCATGCCATTTAAGGCTCAACTTCACGACGAAGGGGCTTCCCAGTTTCAGAGCCAATTTCAACTTCACGGCAGAGGATATTAGACTCGAAAAAATACAACTTACTTGGATTTCAACTTCATGACGAAGGATATCCAATTCCAGGCTCAACTTCACGACGAAGGGGCCACCCACGGTTTCAACTTCATGACGAAGGGAATCGTGCACACAAGCAGCATCCGTCTCTAGATTGGATATCAACTTCACGACGAAGGATATCCAACTCAAAGTAGGAATGTCTGTCAATAAACTTTCCAGTTTCAGAGTCAATTTCAACTTCACGACGAAGAATATTGGCCTCGGAATGGCGTAACTTACATTAGATTTCAACTTCACGACGAAGGATATCCAATTCCCAGGCTCAACTTCACGACGAAGGGGCCGCATACAATTCCAACTTCATAACAAAGGGTATCATACCCCAACAGATTGACCCAACTTAATGACGAAGGAGTCATCTGTAACACAATAACACCGAAATCTTCAGGACAAGTTTCACCTTCACGACGAAGTATCTTGAGCTAGAAGACGATCCAGGAGCTACTGGTCAAAGCTTTGAGTTCGATTTCAACTTCACGACGAAGGATTTCTTGCTCAGAATTTTCCAGTTTCGACTCAACCTCACGACGAGGGAGTCATTTCGTGATTTAAATTGACAAACCAGTCTTTATGTCGGATTTCAACTCTACGACAGAGGATATTCGATCATTTATTTTAAGAATAAAACGGGTTGATCGGATACCTTATTTCTTTCCTGATCTACGTTTTACTAAAGACGTGTCGGATTCGGGAGTCGGTTATAGTCAAGGAAGGGTTAGCACCCTTAAACTGCCCTTTTGGTACTACGTAATTTCCAGTTGTCTTAAATTAAGAAAATTGTAAGTTAAATTCAAACGTAAAATAACGATCCAAAATTACTTACCTTTGATAAATTTGAATGAAGACCCTTAAAAGGAAAATGTTAGATTTGGAGTGATGAAAATAAATAAGAATAAAGGAATTAAAATATAAAAAAAGAAAAAATGTAAAGATAAAGATGAATAAAAAATAGTGATAGTAATGTTTACATAATAAACAAACAGGCAAAATAGGAAAGAAATACAAATAAATAAAAACAAACATAAAGGAGCTAAAAGGAAAAACATAAAGATAAAGAATAAAAATAATAAATAAAATAAAAAGGAAAAAAATAAACAATATAAAAGAGTAAATATATAGAAAGACAAATGAAATGGTAATAGAAGAGTGATAAAAGGAAAAAAGTAAAAAGAAATTAAAAAAAGAATAATAAATATATTAGTAAAATAATAAAATGATCAAATAAAAATAATATATATATATTAGTAATAGGTATATAAATAAAAAATATATGTATATAAAAGTAATAAATAATAATAATAATAATATCACGAGGATTAAATTGAAATAAAAAACAAGTTAGGTGACCAAATCAAAAGAAAATCAAAGTTAGAGATCAATTTAAGGTGAATTTGGGATTAAAACAAGGCTAAAAAACACTAGGGGCCGAAGTGGGGGTTTGCCCACTAATTCTTGAAAACACGCGGATCTGCCAACTTCATTTGCTTCCCACGGATCAAAACCAAAAAACCCAAACGCTCTGAAATGTTCATGCGTGTTCATCGAATGGATGAACACGTCGCCGTGTTTTCCAGAACACGGACGTATGCCGTCTCGCCGGCCGTCGTTGATAGGCATCGGTCGCCGGTCATCGGCGGAAAAATCAAAAGATTTTTTACCATTCGAAAGCCCCTCATCTCCTCGTTTTGAAAATCAAAATCGTTTCTTTAAAAAATTAGCCTCGGGGGTGATCTAAAAAAGAAATATTCGAACACCCCCATTCCGGTCATCGACTTTTAATGTTCAAAATCCAAGAGAGACAACATGCAAACCGAAAGAATGAAAGGTGAGCCTTTTTTACCTGTTTCTTCTCTAAAAATCGCAAAATGCTTCGAATATCACTGCTCGTATTTTTTAAAAAAAATTATGGTTGCCGAATGTACTACTCGAAAATAATTGTGCAAAAGTTTGCTTGTATTTCGTATAATCAGAATGTGTTACACTTGTGGATGATTACATGAATTTATAGGAATAAAAATCATATTTTTAGGTCTTTGAAACCGAATAGAACATTAATGCTATTTGATGTGTTTGTTGGTGATGCATGCATGAGTCTCGCTCGCCGGACGTTTCAGAGATGTTGAGAGACGGGTGGTCATGAAACTCGGAGAAGGAGGCGACGGAGCTTTCGGCGCAGAAGGAGAACACTGCAAGGGTTAGGGGTGCCACGGGTTGCTCCACTGGGTCACGTGGGTTGTTTTGTTGGGCCTGTAACATATAAACCAAATGAATAAATGTGTTATATAATAAATAATATGATATGTATATCATGTAATACACATACACCTTATATTATAAATAATAACACAAATGCAAATGTAAATGCCACTTGTATTATAAATTATAATATTATTATATAATATTATATACATATTATAATTTATAATTTATTCGGTCGAAATTGAGTGTCTTCAACGACTGATCAAGACGGCATTTATTTGTTATCATGTTGATCTTTCTTGTTTTGAACTCTCGGATAGGATTTGGATACACGATTTGTGTTCGTGAATAATTTGCCCAAGTCTCTCAACTTTGATTTGCAGTTTTTCGGTGGTCTCTCAATAACTTAATCCTCTTTTATGATTCGTTTGTCAATGCAATCAGATATGTTCGTATTTATCTTTTGTTCGAGTTTTTTGTTAGAATTTTTAACTTTTTCTTATATGATTCTTGTATGATTTGAAGTGGCTAATTTTTTATATCAACAGCTATAGGAAGATATCCTAATTATGTGTTTAATTTACGGTTATAATTAGAAACTTTCATCATAATTATGGATATTTTATCTTTTTAATAAAATTGACGACTTCTATAAAAAAATTACTATAATTAAGGGGTTAATTTCACTTGTCTTGTATATTTTCTGAAAAAATAAATATACAAAATATATTATATTCGTATAATTAAGGATTGAAACTCGATAATCAAGAGACGAAGTAAATAACCTTCGCACCACACCTCATCACATGTTAGTTTCAATACACAGTTAAATACTATATTATATTCCACTAGAAAAAGTAACAGCATAAAAGAACTATAATTTGTTAAGATTGAATTTGTACACTAACTAGCAAAACTCTAAGAAGGTGGTGTCACTTAATTGACAACGCATCTATATCTATACCAATTATAGCGGGGGAAATCCGAGTTGTGTTATACAGTTTTTAGCACTTCATAATTATTATATAATGTTTATGTTTTTCTTTCTTCATGTGTTAGGTTGGTTTTGAATATTCTTCTGGTTTTGCATTCAAAATTACGGGGTCTAATACAAATTAAGAACCAGGCAGTCTAAAATAAGAAGATACCTCTTAACTGGGCGTGTCACTTGTGATATGAACACTGAAAAACAAGTTTTACATCCCAGAAACTGATGCACTGTAAGATGATATGCATCGATCTTCATTGATGCTGATTCTAGAGCCACAACTTCAACTTTTGTCCATGGTGATGGCGAAATTGATACATGTGAAGAAGTATGTGTACTTTTGACATTCATTGCAGCTTTCACAGATTTTTAACCGCGGCGTATGCTGAGACATGAGTTTCATAGCATTCTGAATCCCATGAGAAGTCCTTCTTCATGGCGTTCGATATCTTTGTTTTCCATGTTGATGGGTTGTTCCTCTGCACAAAGGATTGATAAAACAGAGTTTGATTAAAGGAGATGCAAATCCTTCATAACAATTCATCTGAAGGGAACAAAAACCGAAAAAGTAGAGAAATTTTCAACTGCAAAACACTCACTATTTCGTCAAGGGCTTGGCTAAGGGACATAATTCCGAAGGTAGATCTCATGAACTGCGAGAATCTAGTGATCTCGTGGTCATGATCTGCAGAGTATCTGTTAAGCCATCATGCAAAACAAATGTGGTGTCATTCTCCATTTCGTTATTAATCAGACCTATATAGTTCTGTTTGAATCATTCAAGTCCTCGGCAAGATACGATTTACCTGAAGTTGTTATCAGAAGAGGCTTCCAAAACCGGAGCAGCTCCATATCTTAAAGCCTTGAGCTACATGTTAAGGTCGAAGGAGAGTAAAATATACGTACAAGGGTATAGGTAGGGCATTAATAAAGAATAAACAACCAACAATCAATTGGTATAGCGGGATGAGGCGCTAAGTCAAAGGGGTCAAATTCTGACGTTCTGAAACAAACTGAGTTGGGAGGTTGCCCATTGAGCCTCTGGAGCTCAAGTGTAAATATACACACACTTAAAGGTCCCTCACAGCCCTTTTATAACATTCATTTTACCTACATGTACCCTCGTAGGAGATTACAGTTTTCAGGCAGTAACAGTTATTGCCTGAATATTTAGCATGTCTATCTAGAGTCTAGACAGTATAACCATGATTGTCCAAAATTCTCCAAAAGTTATGCTACAATGTTCAGAAGTTAGTATGAGGTAGCTTGGAATATGATCGCATAAAAACTATTGCTCCCCAGAAAAACAATTGGTTGGCAGAGAGCATTTTATATCTTCATTACCGGATATTTAGTTTAACTTACAGGAACCTGAAGTAGAGGATCGTGAAGGGAATGACATAATATAATGTCAGATCCTGCAAAAACCAAATGTGATAGCGCTTCATCGCAGTGGGTAAAGAATTGCACATTGGAATCCTAGGAGGTAGGAAAACATCAAAATAGATTAGCAGCAAAATAAAGAAAAGGAGGGTAAGGAATGGGAGAGTGAAGGAGATGAATAGAAAACACCCCATCAGAAGTGACAAAGGACAAACTCCACTAAGTAAATTAGTTTCGTTAACATAAAAGCTTAAGTTTCAAAAACATTAAGTAGTTCATGACCTTGAGAAAAATTATGTGGCGCCATTGTAATGAGGAGAAAATTTCTGGAGACATTAAGAGCTCCACTAGAGCTAGTTGCATTTTACATTTGATGTACTTATGAACTTATGTCACGTCAATTCAACTTCATTTTTCTTGTAGTGTTTTACACCTATGTGCAACGCATGCCCGCACATAGATATGAAGATATGACCTTGCAAAAAAACCCCAAATACAAGAAAAAAGTGAATATACATGTGTCGGACATATACCCATATCAAACACTTACACCCAAATCCAATTAACATAGTTTCTGTATGCATTATTTAAAATTTTAGAATTGACAAATGTCAAGCTATAAAAAAGTACAAGAAAAGAATGTACCTCAAGTGCTTCCTGAAGATATCTGAGTGCTTTATTTACAGTCGGCACTGCACCATTCCCCAAGAAGACAAACTACAGAGGGTTGATAAACAATCAGGTCGAGAGAAATCATCAAGCAGGAAAGAAAGAACCCCTATGTCCCTACCTACAGCCTGGGATAGCTATGAACTAAATAAACACCATTGTTTGCGCCAACTCTAAATGTATACTCATGATTTCTTTAAAGGAAAAATAAAAAAGAACGAAAGATGAAGGATGAAGGATGTGATTACAATTGTTTATTTATAAAAAGAAATTTGTTAACTTACCAAAAACAAAAATCAGCTTATCAGACTTTTTAACACTAAAACCATGCATTTCTTTTGTTTCTTTTTAATGAACTCAATTTCAGAGAGAAATATACACCTGTGCACCCCCTCTGGTAGCATTCTGCACATCTGCTCGCAGTTTCTCTAAATCAAAATCTGATACTTCTGAGATGACGCATCCAACCTCAAAAAAGATAAAATTTTAGCACCTTAGAACTATTCCAGGTCTGGTTAAAAGTTATAGAAATGAGACATTTGAAAGCATGAAAAAGAAGTGTGTGTAGAGACAACAAAATTATAAAATTATACCAGAATAGAAGAAGCATGTTTCGATATGCCTGCCTGTTGGTGTAATGCAACTTTGCATGCATCTTTTCCCCCCATGTACTCTGCACTAAAATTTACTGGAAGAAATTTATCTGTGGATGGATCCCAGGTAGAGTTATCGAAGCCACAAGGAGAGACAAGCAATTTTTCCCTTCGGTAAAACACAGAGGAACAGAAATAAATGTATTGATATTTAAACACTTCTCAAGATTAAAGAGAGAAATTTCTACCTCATTCCACTACAGGAATGGAATGAGTTGCTCTTACTTGTGCAAGGCTAAGGTAGTTTCCAATCCATGACTCATACTGTGAATGATCCTTCCTTTAGAGTGCATTGATGACATAACTATAACTTTGTTAGAATATACTATCCCACCCTGCAAATGTTTTAGAAAGTGTACTCAATGGTGGAAAGACAACAACAACAACAAAACCCTAATCCCATATGCAATGGGGTAAGGGGAAAGAGAGAAACAAAAATAAAAAGTAGTCAAATTGTTCAAGCACATTATGGGTTTCACAAAGTGGCGCTATATTAAATAAGCACATGGACGCTAAAATGCGTCTTTAGAAAGATAAAATAGAAACATAATAAACAGAGAATATTAGTCTATAAAATTTTTATAAGATTTGAATTTTGGATATGAGACTCATAGGTAAAGATCTTAGGCTTTGCTTGGTATTAAGGATGGAAATTTTGTTAATCAAATGGTCAAGATTCATAACCACTTCCTTAATTTGAATCTTAACCATTTGATGAACACATTTTTCATCCTTCCTCATCCTTCATACCAAGCAAAACCTAAGTCTATGCTTTATAAGATTTTCCTATCAAAAAAAATGCTTTATAAGATTTAAATTTTGTATATGAGACTCGTAGGTAGAGAACTAGGTCTATGCTTTATGTGACGTTTTGAAAAGAGGAACCAAAGACACCCTCAACTGTTGCTTGAAAACTAAGACAAGGGACAACATAAAGAGAATATTTAATGGGTACAACCCATCATTTCCAAAATTCAAAAAACAAGTATAACCATTTACCTTCAAAACGTTCACAAGATGTGTCTTAGACGTATCTTGCAAACGGTCAGGACGATCAAGTCTGCCAGGATCAAGTCCACATAGCGCTAGCTTATCAGGTTCATCCAGACACTGAAAATTTTTAAAATTTAAAAGTAGGTAAAATAAGTTCAGAATTTGAGAAATAAATTTTGCAAGATTAACATGACCCAAGAGAAACTGTAAAACCCGAGAGGAAACAGAGATCATAAATTACCTGAGAGTCAAAGCCTTGGCAAGTCAATAATATTCTTGTATTTCCTAGCCCCTGTCATATAATATCAAGAAAAAGAAGAGGTAAGGACAGTTTCCTGCTTCCAACAATTTATAATTTTTTTTCTGCAAGTTAGAAACTATCAAGAGAAGTATGCAATAAAGACAGAGTAACAGGTAAACTGTCTCACATCTTGCAAAAGCAATCTTGGATTCAAGCAAAAATCAATTTTTAGATTGTTTTCTCCCAAACCAAAAGGAAATAACAGAGGGACATAGGCTTCGGCAACTAGAAGTTTCACAAATGGTTATGATGCGTTCCAAAAGTTTCAATCAGCTTCAGCCTCCTATTATGCCTTGAGTGTAGTCTCACTATGCCTCTCACAATCATGGCTTCCAGCAAATGTTATCTTACAGGAAGGAGTTCAGGTTATTAAGTTCGATAAATATATATATATATATATATATATATATATATATATGTATGAATTTGTTTTTTCTTTTTAACACCATAAATAATTCCCGCTTTCCTTGCTCACCATCCCTCTTGACTTATCTACAAGTCACTTATGTTGCACATCAGGCTAAAAATACTTAAAAGGAAAAGTCTACAATTAGGAGAAACCATAGGACCAAATCATCCCTCCCACTTCCTCATTAAAAATCCTATACTGCTTTCTTTTGTGTACTTTTCACTTCCATATGTTTTCCAGCAAGTTATACATTAATATGACTAAAAGAAACAGTGAGAAGATGCACCTGTTTAGCAAAAATATCCCAGAAAATAGGCCCAATGATAGCAGTCTCCCAGTTATGCAAGTGTAACACATCGGGTTGCTTTCCGGATTTAGCTATATAATCCAATGAGGCACGAGAGAAATAGGTAAATCTGAATGCAAAGAATGAATAAATGTCATGAAATAACTGATAAATTGATATGAACGTATGATACATTAAGTAGGGAAATTTTGATGAAATTACTCAGAAAAAAAATTCATACTAGAAGTGCAAAAGGGTAATCCTCAGAATATCATTTAGAATATTGATTAAATTATACAGTAATTCCGCTATTCAAACTGGGCAATACTGTCTTTTTTACTTGGCAATGGAAGTGATAAAATCTATAAAAATAAAATAAAAAAATTGGGGAATCATGATATTCTAGTGATCTACCATCTTCCATTTGAACAATTTCGTCAAAAAACATACAGCCCTTTTTTAGATTGGAAGTTCAAACACCTGTATTTTCTACCACGCCAACAAAAGGGAACAGTAAATTAATATATAATTCACCATCATGATATCAACTAATCTTGCCTTTTTTCATTTGTCAGTAAGAAACGACTCAACTATTAGATGGAGTAATATTATTCACTTTTGTTAGAGGTGGATTAGGGTGATCTGAATACTGTCAAGTAAAAGTACGATTTCACCAACTCATGCTACCTCTTAGAGCAAGTGCAAAAGATCCAGACCTATAACCAAGCTGTTCTCATCATGTATCGTTTAAAAGATTCAATAAGCATCGCACCTAAATTGCAAGAAGATGCAACATCATTTCTCCGATCAATATCATCATCACTCCATTACTATCCCTAGACTTAATTTTTTTTCAATATTGAGTCATTAATGTGCCTATGACTACCAGAACAGTGCTTGTATAGGTTATTATCTAACAGAACTTGAAATACACAAGAACAGTTTCACTTGGTCTTCACATACAGAAATGAAAGCAAAATGTTAAACAAAATGGATTATAGGAAAAAAGTGATGTTGCAAGACAGGTAGACACACCGTTCAAAGTCATCTGGATAATCATATATCCTGTCTCGATTGAAAAAGGATGAGAAATACAAAGGTTGAATAAAAGTGACTCCAATGCCATAGACAACCCTGGATAATAGACAGAAAAGGTGAGATCAATTTAAATTTATTAATAAATTTGACTGAAAGAAACGTCTAACTCCTTTGCAGTTAAAACTAGCCAAAAGGAAAAGCAACCAGAAATTGACACTGGTTTTCCATTGTATCACTGGATCCTACTTTTAGTATAAAGAATATATCAAGACTTACCCAGTCCAGATTTTGTTTCCATGCAGTTGTCCATTAAAATAAGTGTAAGACTCAGCCTCAACTTCTCGCAACCCCTGAACCTCATCTAGGTCAAGACTAGCATACCTATCCAAACAACAACAACCTCTGTGTCAATATATTTGAAAAATAGCTTCATAACCAAATTAATGGTTGGAAGTTGTTAGCAGAAAAACAGTCTGACATATCTATACAAATTCAAACTATAGGGGGGAAGGAATACATCAGACACATGTATGCTCTACTAATATATTAACAGATAAAATAGTGTGTGTCTGTGTGCATGCATGCAGGCATAGCTAAGAGGGGGAACAGGAGATGTCCTGTCTTATTTAGAGTAGAACAATCCACACATGGATCATAAGGTTTATTAAACTATAAATAGTCTAAGATAAGCATACATCATTGTTCATAAAATTAAACATGGTCAATATTCCAAAGAAATGAAGAAAAGTTCTTCAAAGTTGGAAGCATGTCTTCTGAATTATTACCATCGAGATCTTTCTTTCACTTTCACCTGGAAATTAACCCATACAAATGGCATTCAAAAGGTTCCTAAATTAACATGACAAAATGAGGTCTATAAAGCTAAATAAATTACAAAGCAACTTTAGTGAATAAAAGAGATGAGTTCCACTAATTACTTTGGCAAAATAACTTCCACCAAATGGCCCTTCCTTTGCAGTGCCCGAGATAAGCCAGTTATGTATGGTGCCAAGGGCCCCACTGAGACCAATGGTTCCATTTCAGTACATATGTGAATGATGTGAAAACCTTTCCTGCATTAATGACAAATAAGATTTATTTTAGAAAAGGAAAAGAAAAAATATATAAATTTTAAAACAATTTCAGAAAAAAATAGGATAAAAAAATTAAATGCATAGATAACAAAAAAAGAAAGAGTTATGAGTGGAAAATCACAAATGAGCTTCTTCAAGAGAATTCAGAACCCCCAGTTACGAATAAAGAATTTGTCAGTAAGAAAATATCGATGGCATTAGTTCACATGACGCCTCCAGTATTTACATAGTGTTGCAGTACCATGGATTTTTTTATCAAAAGAAATATTTTTGATGCAGTTCAAGATATTAAACCAGAGAAATCAAAAGAACTAACTAGTAATCCTATGTTTCATAAAACACAGAAAGAGAAAAAAGGTCCTGGACTTTTCCACTGTACCAGAGTATGGTTATAAAACTGCCAAGTATATGTGTTCATGTCAAAGTGAATATATTGCAACTTCTACAGGCCAGTTCTACCTTTTGCTTCCTCCAGAGAAGTGGCGGAGTTCTTCAAGAAGCTCAGCATCTCTTTCCTGCAGCGAGCCTGAGAATACATCTACAAGACTAACTTCGCTATCTATGACCATCCTTCTCAAATTGGACGCCTCTTCAGTGCTAACTAATCCACCGAGGACCATTGAGTCTATCCGAAGTAACAGTTCCCAGCATAGAGCTAGGTTATCTGGTCAAAACAGGGCATCTCAAAATCACATTGTTCAACTTGAACTAATAATTAGCTTATGCTCAAGAATGCCTGTATTAAAACACATTACCTAATATATAGAGGACAGTTAAAATCTTGATCAACAGAAAACATATAAACAATTATCCCTCTCAGGTGAAACATGCATGCTTAATGCTCTTTCAACCTCACTAATTCCGACGACTGGATAATAATTTCATGTGGATGGCCCAAAACAATGAAATTTAAGCCTCTGGCACGACCTAAACTCCTATAACTAACTGAAGGCAGCCCATGTTAAAAGGCATTCTCAAGTATCATCATTTCCTTTTGAAACAAACAAGTTTTGATAGCTAAAACAGATTTGCAATGTATTGAAGCAGCCCCACAAGAATATAGGACATAGAAGCAACAGCATTATCACTTTGGCAATTACCAAACACAGCTTAAAAGAATATATTTGTTTTTTAAACATTAAAATTTGCAAACTAGACATGCTTGAAATTTGCAGAATTTTCATGAAACTACAATAAACCATAATTAACTGTTGCAAATACAATAAGCAGAGTTCAAGATTCACCTTTCCTTCTGTTTTTTCTCCAATTGCTTTATCTTGTCAATCAATAGCTGCTTCTCCTTATTTGTTTTGTTCAACTCTTCAACAGCCTTCACTCGTTGTCTATTCAAATACAGAATATCTGAAATAAAATGTGAAGCACACAAGAAAAACTTGATAAAAATAAACAAAGTATGTCTAAAATTTCCCTTCAAATAAAGACTTACTCTTCTGAGCTTCCGTGAATAGTCTCCATATCTGATTATTCTTTGGTTCCACTTCATCCTCGGATAACTCTTCCTATTAGAAAAAAAATGAAGAAAGCAGCAACAACAAAGCAAAACCTTCCTTGAAGTGGAGTTGAAAATTAAAATTACTAATTAAAAATGCTCACAATTTTCAAATAACAAAATCAATAATGTTACTTCTACTTCCAACATAATATATATTCGAATTCAATTACATTTTTTTCATAAAATACGAATGATAAAAGAGAACGGAGTAAGTCATAGAATTTTACCGGTGACGATTCCTCATCATCTGGACCTCCATTGCTAAAATGCAGATAAAAGGAAATTAAGGAAATTAACAATATTAAATTTATCAAACAAAATACAATGAATTCAACAACAACAAAAAAAGGAAGGGAGGCTCACTCCATAGGTGAAGGAGTTGTAGATAAACCATTGATTCCACAATTCTTCCTGAAATAGAACAAAAATTGATTAGAAGAGCTCATTACTGCTGCAAATTTAGAGGTTTTTGAAGTTTACCTAACGCAACGAAGCGAAGGAGCCTTAAAGAATTTAGCATTAGGCGCAGTCCTGGGAACGGAAAAGCGACGAGAAGGTGAAGGAGGGATGGCGGGGTTTATCAAAGTTGCCATTAGCATCTTCCAATGAATCCCTCGCGCGCGCACAATCAGGGTGTAGGAGTGAGAGAAGATTTCTTACTTTTCGTTTCGTTTAACTGAACATAAAATCTAATAGCTGAGGGTTAAATGAATGGTCAGTTGTCGTTTGCTGAAATGTGTTTTACTTTTTTTTTCATTTCTCACATTTTCTTTTCTTTCTTTTTGATGAAAAAAAAAACTGGTGGTTCCTTTATTTCTTGTTGATGAAAAGAATTGACGGTTTCTTTACTTTTGCTTCTTGGTAATAGTTAAGATTTTTTTAAAAAAAAAAACAACCAACCGTCGCTTAATATTTTTTTTCTTGAATAATTTAGGATAAATTCGATGTATTATTTATTTAAAGATAAATATTAATTATTTTAAATTAAATGTTCATATCTCTAATATTCTTAGTGTTCAAATTTAAAATCTTAAGAAATAACAAAAATTCTTTTACCACCAAAATCACTGAAATTCGTGTAATATTTTTTCCCTACTCACAAATAACCCTCCACTAATATTTTTAAGATATTTTTCATTCTATAAAAAAAAAACATATACCTTCTTCAAAATATAACTTCTTTTACAAAATCTTTGAAATATTACTCAATTCAAGCTCTTGTTGATAACACCTTAGATTTTGTGTCATAGTTCGAGTTTTACCATACAATACGTGAAGGTTCTTGATCTATATTTTTATGTATTATTGTTCATATTATTTTGATTTAAATTGTGATATGTACTGGCCTAGGTTATGATAATATATTAAAGGGTAAATTACACAAACAATCACTAATGTTTGAGTAAGTTTTATTTTTTTTTACTGAAGTTTCAAAATTAAAAAATTAGTCACTAACGTTGTCGATTTATAACAAATCAGTCTCTCACCATTAACTGTCGTTACTGCAGTAATGGAATGTTGACGTGGTGATTTAAACCAACTGACTCAACACGTTTGACTGGTCGTTTGACTCTCCTCCTCCTCCTCCTCCTCCTCCTCCTCGCAACAACTCTTTGATCTGACCCCGAGATTGACCCAGCTCCATTTTTCAAAGCATTTACCAATGACATTTTTTATACATGTTCTTCAAGAGATCAGATTCAGTTGAGTACCTTGAACAACTCTATTGATGTCTTAAGGCTATAATTTAATATTTCAGACATCCCTTAAATCCAAAGAAGTAGACGGAGCGACCGCAGGGTCATAAGGTGCTATATGCAAAGAAAACAACTATGAATCCATTTAAGCGATATGGTTGTAGTAAATTATTTGTTTCTACTAAAAAAGAAAAGGTAGTGTCCTCCAGCGAGCTTCCGTAACTAGCTGGAGATACATACTGTGGAGTACGACCATTTCTTTCAATTAATCGATGGTGTTGCATCAATTATGTCGACCTATGCTTCCCCAAGCTACTTATACTTGCTGGCTGACATTATAGTCAAGGCAAATATTAGTTCAAGGCTATGCATCCATTTTTACCAAACAAGGGAAACATGGTATGTAACACCCTCATATCGATACGGGTGATCCGATCTGTTTCAGGGTGTCACATTAGGGTCACCAGAGCGACTTAGACTGAAAATTTGGAAAATTTTAAAATTTTTGCTAATTCATTTAAAACTATAAAATAATTTGTAGGTAAAATACAAGTTCAGAAAATCATTTATATATTAAAAATAGAATTCAGCAACATCTAGTAATAAAACAAGTTCCAGACTCGAATATAAAAATAGAATACAACCTACATGTCCCTTAATTACATGCAACGTACTCAACAAACAGCGCCGGTGGAACTCCTTTACTGATGTCGGAAAAAGCACATAATCAAACTCTTTAACCTGAAATAGTAAGTAATAGAGTGAGCTTTGGAAAGCTCAGTAATACAGAACTACCAGATGAATGCAATAGGTCATCGGGTATAAGGTAAAGCATAAATTTTCTTAGCGATACATACATCATAAAGATCTAGTGATGAGCTCGGGTTACATTAATTATTTATTCTGGTAATAATCAAGAAACCAAAGTCTGAAGAAAATATTCAGAGAGACAGATTCTAGAGATTGAGATGAGGAGTCTAGTGTGCTCAAACCAAAACCAGAGAAAATGTACAGATCCTTTATAACAGTAACTGTTTAAAACATATTTTTAAGACCACAGTAATACCCTCCAACCGAAAATCGATATGTAGTTCCCTAGAACTACATCCATAAGAACTTACTCTAGGCTCATTAGGCATAAGAACCAACCTAAGGGAGTATCTTGGGGCCTGAGAGCCTACCCAAGAGAGTACCTTGGGGCCTCAGAGCCTACCCAAGTGTCACTTTAGGACCGTAAGGATTTACCAGCTTGATCAGAGTTGAACCTCCATACTCCAGAATCCTACCCAAATAGTATCCCAATGAATCAGTTCATACAGTAACCAGTAATTTACATGATCCATAAATCAGGCATAATTATATTTTATAGTGAACACATGTAACCAGAGAGCATATATCATGTAACCATAGTTCATAACAGTAAATCAATACATCAGTAAGTAAGAATATCGAACAGTTAAAATATTTAGTAAATTGGTAACTTTGACAAATCACATTTCAGAACAAATAAAACAACCATATAACACATAGAGAACACACTAGAGGATCCAGTTATTTTCCGGAGGTATTCGGTAATTATCAAGAGGGGAAAACATGAGACTTCTGCAAACTGATTAAATTTCATAAACGAGATCCCTATAAAAAAGGGTTTGATAGCTAACAGATTCATCAGTCATTCAAGAAGTAATTTATCAAGATCATAGTATTCAAATATATCTGCAAGCTATTCAGGAATTATTGCATCAAAATTTATTTAGGATTCAAACATTTCTAAAGTGATTCCATCTATCAGACTTATAAAGGCATTTTAGTCATTTAATTTTTGAGAAATTTGATAAATCAATTTAATAAGGGTATGCAACGATTTACAGAATTCCAGATTTCAAGCATCCTAACCGGTTTTCAATTCCAATAGCACTCTACAATTTCCAGCAAAGGTGACAGTTATTAATTATGTAAGTAGAGAAACTTCAGGAATACTCATTTCTTAAAATTGTATGCACTGCATAATCGAACTGATCACCTTCAGAACTATCTTTGATCAGATCATGAAAAGAAGAATATGTGTTTAAACAGTATTTATTTACTTCTCTTATTGTAATAGTATTAGGGATGATTGACCTACTTAGGTCGTACTCTATAAACCTCAAGGGCGTTACAACATTTATAACTTCACTGATATCTTCAGAAGTTATCCAAATACATTTGATTAATCCAAGTCATGAGGGTATTTAGGTCATTCTGGTATTTGAGGTAGATTTATTCATTCCAGAGCTTAAGGGTATTCAAATATTTCAGGGCTTGGGGGTATTTTAGGTCATTTTACACTTCAGGATTATTTTGGTCATTTTACAGTTCAAGGGTATTTCAGTCCTTTCTTTTCGACCAGTCTTTCCATTTAATTCAAACTTGTCATTTATTTCAGTCATTTCAATCAATTCTAACAATAATAGTACTTTCGATAATTTAGTATTCATGTGTTTATTCATAAATTAGAAATTCTAGGTCTAGTGCTTTCTCAAAGTTACAAACTAATTCTAAAAAAATTTCTGAATAAATCAAGAATTTAATTGTTGAATTAGTAATTTCTATGATTAGATATGAATTCTCATGGTGCATTCACTATCAGGTATTGGTATTAAAACGTTTAACGAGGATAAGTAAAATTTAGAGGTTCAGAGGTTAATTACTTTTTTCGGATAACCACTGAACTTGAAATTATTTCTTATCAGTTTTTTAGTGTCTTATACGTGTAGTCTGAGTCTTATTCAATTTAATACTTTATATCACATATGGATCGAGTTAAGAAATATTAACTAAACAGATGTGATCAAACATAATCATTCATGCATTAACAAATACCAGTATGTTCTGTAAAGCATGCAAAAGGTAGTAATGTATTACCTCAATTTTTTAGCTACACCGATCGAACATTTAAACTCTATTCGATCGCTCTCAACTTGAATGCAATGTCCAATAATATCTCGGATACATATCAACATAAATTGCATCATAAATGGAGCTTAATTGTGAAAAAATGGATCGAATCGAGAGGTTAATCAGTGAAAAATAGCTTATCGAGTTTGAATTTGGTGAAACGAACCTCCAAAATAGACTCAGGGCATCGAAAAGCATCAAGATAGGTGTTCCCAAAATAATCAACAGTAGTCAACGCCTGGTCAACGACTCAGCTCGGATCGACGTGGCTCAGCTCAAACGGCTCGGTCCAAACCGCCCCAACCAGTTCAGACCGATTCAATCGGTCAACAAACCCTCTGGTTGATAGACGACGCCCACGCGCAGGTAGCGGCGGGTGTGGCGGCTTCGGTCATCGGTTCGACATGAAATTTTCCAATCTTGTAGATCGACATCAGAAGTCTTATGGTGGTGGCGGTGTGGCGAACAAACGTCGGGGTCGATCGGAAAATACTAAAAACCAAAGTGACGGGAGTTCTCTCTGATGTAACTTTAGGGACTCCTCCACGATGAACGACAGTCGTTTAGCGACGATGACTGACAGACGCTGATCGGGCTAGAGAGACGTTTCTTCTGAGCTACGTGGTAACACCCACCGACGGACGGTGGTGTCAAACGAAGAGGGGCAAGCCGAACGGGTTTTCCCTTTTTGCGACTAAAGGTGATCGATTTAGAGTCGATGATTGTTGGGGTTAGGGTTGGGTCGTGGGATGATGCCAGTTCGGTTAGTGGTGGCGGTGATGTCTAGGACTTGCCAGAAACGACTAATCGACAGTGGTAAAGGTTGGGTGAAATGGGTTTAAGTTTAGGTATGGGGGTTTCACGAGAATGGGGATTTCACTTTTGGGATTAAAATCCGGTACATATAATCAAATAACCTATTTATTAATTGGCAATTTAAATAGGATCGGAGTCTAGTGGTAGAGGCATGGTTTCCCATGCCTTAAGTCACGGGTTAAACACCTAGCTACATCTTTTTTTGGTTAGAATGGATGGGTAAAATTGGTGTTAGGCCCGTGAATGATTTGGAGTTTACAGAATGACCCCAAATAATCCAAAATTTAGCAATTTGATCCCCAATTTTCTTTCAAATGACTTTAATTTAATTTTTAATTAAATTTGGGTGGTAGATACAAATAACCAGTTTTCCTTATGTGGAATAAGATCGACAAGGCATGTTTTAGAGAAGAGAAATCGATAGTTGGTCTTCAACTAAATGGCAATGTATATAAATTAGACAATAAAATAAGCAAAATAATCATATAAAATACAAAATTTAAGCAAATAACTAACCAATCAAGCTAGCACACAATTTGGAAGACAACATTAATACAAAGACATGGCATTTCGGTTCAAACTAGCCACAAATGAGCAACAATGATGATTAAAGCAACTCGAAGTGAAACTTAAAGAGAATAGAGAAAAAAGAAAAGCAAGCATGATACCCTAGACAAAATATGTGCCCCCACAGAAGCAATAAGAAAAACCAGACATGAGACAACTAAGAATCTCGATAATTAGTGTCAAAAAAGAGGCAAAATCTTTCGCATTCACAACAAAGAACAAGCATAAGAAAGAAAAAAAATATAATTAAGACATAAGAAGAAGAAGAAGAGTCAAATGATCGGTCAAATATGTTGAGTCAGTTGGTTTACGTGCCACGTCAATATTTCGTTACAACAATAATTGTTGTTAATGGCGAGTGACTAATTTGGTATAAATAGATAATGTTAATGACCAATTTGTTACTTTTGAAACTTCAATGGAGAAAACAAAAACTTATTCAAACATTAGTGATCATGTATGTAATTTACCCTATATTAAATTTAATTTCACCTAATATTGGCTGAATCAAGTTTTCGAGCTACTCACAAACTGCTCAACTCATTAGCATCCCTATAAATGAATATAATGCAAGATTTAAAATATTGGTGAGCAAAGTGAAAACACCCTAAAAAGTCAATACTATTAGTGCAGTTTACCCTTAAGCGACAACTTATTATACTACCTCCATAAACTACATTGTACCACATTTTAGTAACAAAATTAACTCACTACAAAAGAACATTTCATTAATATTAGTAGTCGAGACGCATACACACGTATCCTTGTACTTCAGTTCACACTTCAAATTACAAAACGATTTTGATTGCAAACGCCATAAGAAAAACGCCGTTATGCATTAACTTCCATGTTAACATAGACGTTTATGTACCAACAAAAAAAGTATTACTTATTAACGGAAAAAGAAACCTAATGTATTATTTGAACTATTCTAAAACCTCAAAGCAAAACACTAGTTGAATTTAGTTGGGACAAAATGAAAACGTTCTTCAATTTGTAGTAATTACATAGGAATAAATATCACCGGATGATGAAAAAGGATTTTTGAACTTCCATCATTCAGTGTTGGCTCAGCTTGCGCTTTTTGGCCATCCGCCTCATCCGCTCCTGCCGCTCTTCTTCCTCTATCAGCCTCAATTGTTCTTCATCCTCCTGCCTTGCAATTTTAGCACTGCACGGAAAAATGTAATTTATAATACATGAAGTGCAATTAGTTATACATCTTTAAAGCTGATTAGTGAACAGGTTCGGGATTGTTAGATGCACTGTCGAACTTCCATCTCCTTCGGACTTCTTTACAGAGGCAGTTCTCAACATGCAAATGCTAGCAAGAGGTTTATTTTTAACGAAGAAAAACAGGTTCGGGAAATTTTACTAACCTTCTTCTTTCCTCTTTCCTTATCTCGTCCCAGTTTGCCTCCATGTCACTAACATCATCATCGTCACAAACTGGATATCTATCGGTGCTGCAATGGGGAGTAATCAAACATTAGAAAACAAATTTTTGAAAAATTGAAATCAAAATACTGAAAGCAACAAGTGATTTACTCTTCTGGTTAAAATAAGACCTAAGATTTCAATGAAAGGTCCAGGAGTGAGAAACATGACAGGATGGAGATCTTACCGGAACATATTTCTGATCATCATTAAAGCCTTTTCATCTTCACTTAATTGCTTTTTCTTCGGTCTCTGTACATTTGACTTCATCTGAGAATGTGATGAGACTTGCTTCACTGACTTGTTTGCCTGTGGCTTGATGATACTGGAGGCCTTTGTGGCTTTAATGATACTGGAGGCCTTTGTGGCTTTGATGATACTGGAGGCCTTTGTGGCTTTGATGATACTGGAGGCCTTTGTGCCTGTGATGATACTGGAGGCCTTTGGGGCATCATTTTATCCTTGCTATGTTCTTGTGATCCCCGTTTCTGTTCTAAGTGCTGTCTTGAATCAGACAAATTCACTTTTGAAGGATGTGTTTTGTGCGCACCGGGGGGTAGATTCCTAGAAGTTGGTGCAGAAATCTTTTTCTCCATCTTTGCAATAGGCATCTTGGAAGGCACAGCTTTAGGGCCAGCTGGTCGGCTAGACCCAGTACCGTTACTAGCACCAGCAGGCCAAACATACCCAGTACCGTTACTAGCAGCAGCAGGATGACCACGCCCGATGCCATTGCTAACAGGCCGCCCAGGCCCAGTACCATTGCTAGCACCAACAGGCCGGCTTGATCCCATACCATTGCTAACACCAGGTCGGCCAGGCCCCATACCACTGCTAAAACCAAGCTGCATTTTAGAATCCCTTGGCATCCCATTTGATTTATTGGCAGAAGAAGACTTGTAGGTGCCAGCTTTAGGTTGCAATTGACCCCTCGATGGAACTGATTTCCTTTCGTCGCGGGTGCCTTGCAAATTTCTGCCACTATTGTTGTTGCTGTTCAATGGTTGTTTGCTTTTTGGCAGCATTTGAGCTGGTCGTGCCTCTTCAAAAATCAATTTAAAAATCTGTATAAATTATCTTCGGTTTAAGCTTCTGAGTTACAAAACAAATTTTATGCAGTTAAATAGTAACCTACCAGATTTTGGAGCAGAAACATTTCGAGGTGGAGGATCTTTTGCAGAAGCTGGAACCCCTGTATCATCTGAGAGAAATGAGTAATCTCTTGCTACCTTAAGTTTCTCCACTTTCCTTCTGAGCTGCACAAGGCCAGAAAATGAAAACGTTAGTTACCACAGACAAGAGCTCTTTCAAAAGATAAAACCAAATTAGAAGTGCTCAAGAGTAAATACCTCACTTGGAGGTTTGAGTGTTTGGCCATGTTGGGCTTGTTTTGGTGCAGCACTTTTTGAAGCAGGGTTCTTTTTACTCTGCAGAAAATCTCAAGGTTGTCAATACAAATTGGAAACACCAAGTAAAACTTGGAATCCTTCAATCAGAAAACAGATCTTCAAACTAAGCTATTAACAAGCAACATCACAGATGTATAAAATGGGTGCAGAGTAAGTCAAAGATTATTGAATATTAAAACCTGACTCCGTCTCAAAGCACTAGGCATGCATACTTGGGAATGTGAATGAGACACTTATGCGTGGAAGCTACTCAGGTCCGGCTAGATAAAAAAAGTCTAGAAATTTGGCTTGGACATAACCAAGTCAAACTCAAGTAATTGTGCATGCCAAGTTCAAGAATCTACATACTCAAATCAAGTCACTTGCAAGCCAAATGGAACTTTTTACATTTTAATATATATTTTATTGTTTTTAATTAACATTGAAAATTTTCAACTCAAACTTGAGTCCAACTGGCTTGATTAAACCCCTATACATACTACATGGCAAGAGAAGTGATTATTCGGTGGCAAAACAGTTGTGTATTTTTAAAACTGTCAAAGATATAGTATAATTATCTAATAGAATAAATAATAACCGCAGTACTGAGTTCATCAAGTTGGAGTTTGCATAACCATGCATATCAATATAAACACAGAAAACATATATAAGGAGTTCACATTAAAAAATGATACACAATTGATACTTACAGACTGATTGGAACTCAACATCCGTGATACTAAATTCTGGTTTTCCAATAATGACTTGCTTTCTTGGATAACTCTATTAGAAATAACAGGCCGAGAAGGGCCAAAAAAGGATCCAAAGCTGTAGGAACACAACATTTATAAACTTATTTAGAATAATTACAGTTATGTTAACCTGGAGTAGACATGCTTAGCAAGTATCATAAGGAATGGAAGAAAAGCATTGTTATATTCTATAAACCTGAATCCAAAAAAGTGTTCAAGTGTAATAAAACTTCAACAAAAGAAAATCATTCTGCAAAAGGAAGCATCACTCACTTGTTGTATGGAAGCTTCTTCTCAAGAGAAGAAGCTAAACCACTTTGCTTCCTCTTTCGTATGATAGAGTCTTTCAGCCGCTGTCTTAACTCTAGGTATTCCAATTCTTCTTGTGTAGGCTGTCGGGTTTCTTCTTGCTCTTCCTCTTCCTCTTCCTCATATTCCTCCCCATCTTCTTCCATAACATCCTCATCTTGATATTCCCCTTCCATGTCATAATCATCATAATCTTCAACTTCCTAGATAGGAAGTAAGAAATTTCATTAACAAGATAGGGAAGAAAGGTCCACATTCAACAAAAAATGACAGATAATGAACAACTTAAACTTAAATGAAGGATACAGGAATTCCCATCATGAAGAATGGATATAAAATATGCAAACAACAATACTTAAGTTTATCATTTCCTATAAGGTTAGCAATATGCTTATTTCTTCCTTTGAGTAGACTTACTTCTCTATGGTATCCCCTCATTTCTCAAGCAAGCACCAATTAACAATATTGGTTCTTTATCTTCTTGAATGAACTTATACCTGAATATCAAACAATTAACAACGTTAATGATTATTGTAAAAATAATGAATTTTGAAGAAAATAACTACAAAATTACTCAATTCTTCTTATGATCTAGTTCGCGACTCTAATAGTAAGCCATATTCAACCTCGATTAATTTGAATCACTGAGATCCATATTATTTTCTAATAAATAAATAAATATGATGTTTTCAGAAGAAAATTTTGCAATTAAAACTCCTAAACTTCGCAGATTATTGAAGAAAGATAAATTTCATCTTGACATAAAAAATAAGCCAACCCACAAAAAAGAAGATTGGAAAAAATAACGATGAATAACACCAAAAAAAAACCCTAAATATTTCGCAGAAACAGATTCGAATACCCCAAAGTTGAGCAATCTGAAAACGAATCCGTCAAATCTGGTTTAATATCAACCAAATTCGATAACACCGATTCGTTCAATCCCACCAAATCGATTCCGAAAAGAGGTTAAAAAGAAAAATACCCAATACATACGTAAATCGAAATTAACATATCGTAAATAATTGACACATAATACCTTTAATCGGATCGAAAATCGACGAAACCCACGGCTTTTCAAGCGAAAATCCTAAACCAGCGCCTCGAAAGAGAGATTTGGATCTGCTTCAAGGAAACAGACAGAAAACGAAACGCAAATCTTCGATCTTCGGAAGTATTGAAGGAGGAATTAAGCAATGATAGGTTTTTTTTTTTTTTACAGCAAGCATTGATAGGTTTAAATATTAAGGCAAAGGGATTGATTCTATCGTGTGCTTTTTGATAATAAGGGCGCACTTCAGTTTTTCCGAGTTCGGTGAGTGAGTCGGGAGTTAACTCAGTTGGTAGGTTCTTAATCTTGAGGTAGTAGGATCGAGTTCAATTGAGGTATTTCATAATTTAGAGGTCTTCTATAGAAGATATTCTTAATCTAATATTGGGGCAGTCTACTATCTTATCTTCCTTTATCCTATTACATATGGAACAAGGGACATCCATTTGTGCTTAATTTTATAACCAATTTCATAAAAAGAAAAAAGAAAAGATATTGATCTGGCGCGAAATATACCCTTTTTAACTTTCTACCTACTAATTACATGCAGAACTGAAAACCTATAAGATGAAACTCGTGACTCTAAACGGTGCGTTGTGAAAATAAATTAGAAGGTAAAATACATTGTTGGTCTGTCGAATATAAGTATTTCTAAACCAAGATATATTACACGAATCAATCTACCTCAATTGTTAAGGTAATGGTTGTTATTTTTAGAAGTTTTATGTTTGAGTACCAGAGACCGAAAGGGTATTTGAGCTTTCATTGTCAAATGATTGAAAATCTTTAGAACATATACTACTTTATAATCATCCTAAATTAATTAAAAAAAACTTAAAAATATATTAAAATTTATAATTAAGGTCGTCAAACTTCAATTCAATATGCTTGCAGATAACATGCAAAATCTCAGTTCAAATGAACATTAATTTAGTCTTTAATTATATAAATAGTATATTTTATGAATTAAATTAAATTTTGTTAATATTTTAGGAATAACATTCATTTTCTAAATTTATAGTTCAAACAATAAATTACAGTCAAAATAAATCTATTGTTGAAATCTTGACACAAAATAAGTTGGGATTTGCCCTTAATTTCAAAATAAAAAATTTAACGACTATTTTGTAAAAATATTCTTTGAAAGGAAAAAGGCTAAAATAATTTTTAAGGACTTAAAATTTAAATTTTTAGAAAACTTTTCGATGGATTATTCCTTTTCTAAGTAGGATCGATCTCTTTTATAAAAAGGTCGGTCTTTCATATAAAAGAATCAATCATTTTCAACATTATATTTCCAATAAATCCAAGAAGCAATCTTTTCTATAGGTTCGTGTAACTTTGTGCTGGGATAGGCACAATTAGGCCACTAATTCAATTCCTAAATAGTTCTTATATTAAACATCATACATAAATGTATTTATAACATTAAAATCATGATGTTACACAATTAAAATATATTTAATATCAATCAAACAACAATTAAAACATACTTGTAAGTCAGGATTTACCGATTTGGTCACTATTAGATATGTCATTGCTCATTTTAAATATAATTGGTATAAAAACGTACTCTAACACGTCGTCATACTTTTATTACATTCATACATTAAACCAAACATGACAAAGTATGACTTATTACATTCATACTCTAACATTATTTTCGTAAGTTTATTTTTCTAAAAGTTATGATTTAAAATTAAGTGTGAACTCAAAAAGTTAATGAATGTTTTAGGCACTGCAACAAAAATACAGTAGCACATGTAATTACAATATTATGCCATCATGTCTCAAAAATAGACTATCTTTAAATTAAGAGAAAATAACTTCAGTGACTATAAATGCCTTATAATATACGATTTTAACCAATTTTTTTTGGATTTGCCAAAATGACCAACTAAATCGTAATGCGATCGATAATTCGCAACGCGATCTCCGGTATCGCAAATTAGTTTCCAGATTCGCAACGCGAACTTCGACTATCGCAACGCGAACTTCGACTATCGCATTGCGATTTACATATTCGCATTGTGATAGTCCAAGTTCGCGTTGCGATTTATTACAAATTTGTTGCGATAGTCCAAGTTCGTTGCGATAATCTTGTTGTGATAGTCCAAAATCGTAACGACTGGTGGTATTGCATTTGTTTCTTAAGAATTTTCTCTAAAAAGATAGTATTCGCACGGACGTGTCGAAGACACGTATTACCACGACCACGACCCGAGACGGGACGGGACGGTGGCGGCGGCGGCGCGCGAGAGTCCCCCTTGTTCTCTATCACTTAACAAGGAAGTGGGAAAGCCAAGCCTTAAATACCATTCTCAATAGTGTTTCCAATACTATGTGGGATTGAGCATTACCAACACTTGTTTCCAATACTATGTGATTATTCAGGAAACAATTAACAATCATGCACCTTAAAACAACTGAATCAACAACCAATTGCATTAGTATTATACGATTAAATATGTCATAATTAAAAGTCAATCTACAATCAATCGCGATTATTACAATTTTAAGCAAAACATTCAAAAAAAATTGCATTACTGGCGAGAATAAAAAAAATTGTTATCGTGCAATTACAATCAATTGAAAATAAATTAGAATTGCATGAAAACTAAACGAACCACAAATACTTTTCATACAAATACTAAAGTCATTAACTATAATTCACAAATAATATCACTATTTAAGGCTCAATCCCACATAGTATTGGGAACAAGTGTGGGTAATGCTCAATCTCACATAGTATTGAAAACACTATTGGGAATGGTATTTAAGGCTTGGCTTTCCCACTTCCTTATTGAGTGATAGAGAACAAGGGGGGCTCTCGCGTGCCGCCGCCGTCCGTCTCGTCTCGTCTCATCTCGGGTCGTGGTCGTGGTCATTTTGGCAAATCCAAAAAAAAATTAGTTAAAATCGTATATTATAAGACATTTTTTGTCACTAAGATTATTTTCTCTTAAATTAAATGATCATCGATACTCATATTAAGTTTTTCCATTTCAATTACTCATGTCATGTCAAAATGTTTATCAAATCAACTACACGTACTTAAGACTAATTTTAAATTGATACTCATCATGTAATTGCATACAAAATAAAGCATATAAATAATTAATTACATATTGACTTACAATAACATGTGAAGTCAAGATTTAAAAGGGTTCATTATTTATTTGTACCAGTGTAATCAATTTCAAATTAAAGTGGATTTATTTATAAACATATAAATTAAATATATGATATCAAGTGGATGTCTCGTATTTATTTTAGAAATACTGAGTTGTGAAATTGAGATGATTTGTTTTGTTTATGTATATATGTATAATCAATTTACGAATTAAAGGTATTTTATATATGAATGTGATTTTAATTGATTGAGTTAAAATAATAAATATTATTATTAAAAGTAGTGTCCTTGTACAAGAGATATGTTACAAGGATGGGTCCAAAAATTTGATTTTTTTTAAATTTGAAGCCCTAAATGTTTGGGAGAAATTTTAAGGTTTAGGGTTTGAGAACCATGAACCACCCACCGGGCAGTAGCTATACTCTACCAAAGCTACCACTGGCTAGTAACTCATCGGCTCGCCATTAAACTTGTTCACCCTCGTCTAATCGATTTAGGCATTGGCTCACCATGCAACTGAGGATCTGCGTGCTTTTTTTAAGTTTTTGGGGTAATTATATTGTTGGTTCGTATTTTGAATTATAATTCAATTTGGTCTTATTTATGCCATTTAGATGCTAATTTGGCCTTGTAAGTCTTCGATTTGATCAATTTAGTCCCTAGAACTATTAATTGGATATTGATGAGTTTTTTTAATGTTGAGGGAAATTATTTGGGATTGTGTTTGTATTTTTGATCACCTATGTTCATGGGGAAAAGGCCAGAAGCTCGAATTCAGGTAATTAAGGTTAGTATTTCTTGAACTCTAAAGTGTTTCATAACTTTCATAATTATGATATTGTGTTATATGTGAACATTGGATTAAATATTTGTGTAGTATTAGGGTAAATTACCAAAATTTATCTAGTTAAAAATAATGTTTATAAGTGAAAATAGAATCGTAGAACTTTAAGGGAATATCGTAAGACACTAGTAATTATGTGATAAACCATAGTAATAGATTAAATTATCCTCAAATGAGTAAATGATCAAATACCTCTTGATCATGATATTGAATAAGGAAAAGCACGTACTATGGGGATACATTCTAGGATATTGGTAATTGATCAAGTACTCTCTCATAAACTGTAGATTTGTGTATGAAAAATTACCAAATACTCTTAGGAGATTAAAATGATTAAATTGTCCTTATCGGCCTAAGTGAATGGAATGATTTGTATTAATAGAAAAAATAAGTTACCGTAAGAAAAGGTTCAAATACCTCTAAGATTAAAAGAATGATAAACATGATCCAAGTATTGTTAAGAATTTTCATGATTTTGAAAATCATACATAAAATGACCTAAACTTGATCTAAAAGGAAAAAAGCAATTCAAGAAATGTCATATAAATGATATCAAAAATGAAGAAGATTTAATGAAAAGTTTGGGGTAAAAGCTTTAGAAAGTTGAGAGACAATAAAATAGAAGATGGGAGTATTTGAGTGAATTTTGAAAAATGAAAAGGATGTAAATTGAAATGTCAAAGTTAGTTAGATATTAGTTATTAAAAAAAAGAGGGCATATATTATTATTAATTAGAAAATTATAAAATATATAATGAATTGAGTTCGAATCCTAATGACAACAAATCGGATATCGGATATATTATTATTAATTAATTAGTCGATTAATAAATCGATATCGGTGATTATACCCAAAAAAAAATTAAACTTTTGTAGTATGAGAAATTATTACCTTAAATACAAAAAGCTAAAAAGCTTCAATAACGACGATAATGACAACAAAGATTATCTTGTTGAAAGGGTTATTAGTAAAACTTGGTGATGATAAAATGCAGTGTGGTAAACTTTCTGTGATAACAAAGTAACATTACAAATAACAGTTAATTCAATGTTTTAATGGGGGGGGGGGGGAGGAATACAAGATCTCATTCAAACTGAATATTCATCAACAAAACAATTAACATATGTTACGACTAACCATTAGGAACTCAACAACATGATTATCTTATATCCAATTTGAGGGTTAAAGATGGGTTCCATCGACCAACTTGAGAAGAAGTGTTGAAGTTAGTTGAGTAGTGTGATAGTTCGCAGTCATTTGTTATCTAGTTTCCTTAGGCATTCAAGCAATGTTTGTATATAAGTTCATGTTTAACTTCAGAATGATGAATATTTTTCCAGTTTTCCTCTGTTAATTCTTGAATTCAACATCATTTTTCCGGATACAAGTAAATAAAAATATGAAATGTTTAACCAACATAACTTGATGTTTTAATTTGCTAACATGGCTATAGGGTATTGATAATAGCTTTTCCTTCTTTGGCCGAGAGCATTCATTCAAGTCTTTCCCTGCTATTGATAGCGTCTTCTTTTTGCATAATCGCCATTTCCCATTGTCATTTATGAATTGAATCTGGAGTAACATAACAAACTCTTTATTTCTATCACATTCATTCTCTCTATGCAAATCGGCTAACCACACTTTCTTCAATTAGAAGTTTGGACCAGCTGCAAGGATCTCCTCTGTCAGCTTGTTGTCTTTGCCAATCTTGTAATTAGTGAACGTCTCAAAGTTGTTCTTGAACAGCCCAGCCAGTTTCAACAGTGTCTCTTTGTACGCCTTCTTGTCGACTCATTGCAGAACAATAGCCGAATACATCAAAACGAGGCAAAATATGAGTAACATATTGAAAGAGATATGGTTGAATAAGGGACTACTTACGGTATTCTCAGGCTGCAATATTTCAGAAGGAACTCCCTCGATCTCAGTGGGGATCTCTAGCCCAAATACCTCAGTTTTCCGGTAAGTTGCATTCAAGAGGCTACCAGAGTGAATGGCGTTCCAGACCCATAGCTGAAGCAAAATGAGTAGAGATTGATTAAACTATTCTGGGAATTATGCTAACTTTTACAATAATGACCGGTTGTTACCTTCCACCTGGATATCCAGTGTTGACAAGCCACCCCGTTGCCCCATGCTTCTGCATTTTCTCGGCAAGCATGGCTGCATACTTGGTAGGATGCAACATAATGAACGCTGCGCCAAAGCAAGCCGAGAATGTTGCTGTTGGCTCCTTATACCATCTTCAGTGCCAGCCACCTGTATGTATCATCAAACAAGTTCAGTCAGGAGATGCAAGAACCAGATGCCTCGACAAAGCATAGCAGAAAGACATTGAAACCTACCAAAGCCGTGTAGCCACTAATGAAATGGTACAGGATTTGAGCCAGACTCAGCTTGCTCACAGGTGGAAGGACACCAAAGGATCGCATGCCAGAAGTATGACATTCTTTGGGTGTGGACCAACTCATGGTATCTTAGCATTGGGAATATATTCAATCGGATAGGCTGCACGAGTTCTCTGCAAGCAAAGAAAAAACAGTATTGAAGATTACGTGTATTCTGCACATCTAAATAGCATTGTTCATCTTATCGGTTGGCCGCTTTAATGAACCAAGCAAGTTACTAATGTAAAGATTTCCAGATTTTTTTTATAATATATGTACCTGTAACTGATTTGTCGCTGTAATCCACCTCTCTTGTATGTTCATAACTACATTTTCGAACACTGCAAAAACAGAGAATTCAAAAGATCAAACTGAGCTTTACGATTATTTTCCCGTAGTTTGATCAAAGACCAGAGAGGGCCATATAATTTTACCAGTGCCAGATTTAATGGCATTCCAGATATCTGGCTCTTTGTCCCTTGAAAGACCAATGCACTTAGCATAACAACCACCTTCAATATTTGACATGCCATTATCACTCCAACGGTGCTCATCATCTCCGATCAGATACCTGTTGTGATCGGTAGACAGAGTGGTCTTACCGGTGCCTGTTTAAAAATTATTGAAGTAAACTCATTAGCAACATTGCCAAGTAAAGGTAATAAAAAGGACATACATCCTTTTTTTTCATGAAACAAACTCCATAAGGATTCAAGTACAAAGTAAAGAGAACATATATCGGTTTCTGGGACTAGCACCACAATGTGACCTCGATCTGATGATACTATACCTGAGACTCCGAAGAAGAGGGCAACATCCATCGATATTGCAGCCAGAATGTAAGGAGAGGATTTGACGCTTAGGCATGAGATAATGCACAACACTGAAAAGACCATTCTTCATTTCCCCGGCGTACTGAGTTCCGAGGATGACCATTTCCCTCCTAGCAAGATTAAGGTCTATGCTAGTGGAGGATGTTATGTAGTGTGTATAACGATTACACGGGAACTGTCCAGCATTGCTTATAGTGAAGTCCGGAGTACCGAAATTCTCCAGCTCTTCAGGAGTGGGTCGGATACACCTGTCACCCGCCCAATTTTCCAATTGTACACTAAGCTTTTACCATTTTTATTTATCTTATTGCCTCAGGGAATTCTATAGGGTTGATAAAACTCAACACATTATAAAATTTTAGAAACTTATCTGGGATAGGCTTGGACCTGTGAAACGAAACAGAAAAGGGGGCTTATAAAATTTTAGAATTGCTCATTTTTTACCTACATGTCGTGCATGAACAACGAATGATAGGCTCTAGCAGAGACAATCCGGACTTTGATTCTGTTGTTTGGATCCCAGTTCAAGAATTGATCATTCACAAAAACCTGTAACCATTTACATAATTAGAATCAAATTTACAATTTTAATTTCATATTTTCACAACTTTACAAGAAAAGGAAAACAAATATGATATCCAAGTAAATGAACAACAGAGATGCCTCATCACCAGAAAACCACCCTCAAGTTAAGGACAAAAAAATTTATGCTTGCAAGGACAAAATTGCTCCTCCCAATGGGTGAGGATGTCCCTAGGATAAGTTGTTGAACTAAAAGACGAAAATGATATCATATGACCATAAAAGAAAAGACAAGCAATTAATTTATTATGATATTGAAGCCCTTTTGAAAGAGTTAAACCAAAGATTTTATGTAAAGATATTTCACCTTGTCCAGGGAGTTCAGGTAATCGACAGCTCTTTCTCTGTTAACCATGAAGGCATGCTCGTCCATTTCGATGTTGGGTGATCCCCTGTCATCCCCAAATCATTAGCTTTTTTTTCCAGTGAATTGAATTAACAAACACTGTATATACACACTTACTTTCCCCACCAAATCTCCTCTTGGGTGTGTCATCGATAACAACCCTCTTATCTCTTGGGGATCGCCCGGTTTTGGCTCCTGACAGGGTGGCCAGTGCACCGGTTGCTGTAATGAAAGAACCCTTCTAATACTTTATCGCCTGCTCATACAACTCTGCACCAATTCCAAAAAATCCATGATTTTTAGTTGATCAGATAGTTTTTTTTCGAGGGTGAATGGCTTGTGTTTATTACGTACCAACAGGAGAGAGATTGTACAGGACATGAGTGAATTTCAAGGAACTATCACTGACGCCGATCGTTGGTGCCTCCACATGGTGGTGGTGCGCCACGTGTCTCACAGGCTGAACCTTCCCTGCCGGATCTCCTCGCACCACTTTCGGCCCTGTCCCTCGGGTTAGTGACGCCAAAGATGCACTGCTCAAAAAAGAATCACGAATATTACGAAAATTACTAATCAAAATTTAAAGATGCCAAAAATAAATTATATTTTATTGCATTGATAATTAATTATTAACTAATGGTTTCATACAAGTTTTTGATAGGAGGTTTTTTTAATTGGCTGCTGTGCAGGTGCAGCACGTTTACCTGATGGACTGGTGCTGCTGGTGCTGGCGCTCATCTTCGGAAATGGTGGCAAAGATACCCTGAGCACCGTCGAGAGGCGTCGTCGGCGCGGATCTCTTCTTCTGCAAAGAGTGAAGCTCGTCAATCGTCTGAGCCTTAACGGGTTTCCCACTATCATCCTGATAGATTCCGTTCTTATGCGTTTTAATCCTCACCAACGGACTCCTTGGCGCCGTCGACACTCCGTTTCTGTTTGCCGCCATATATTCACCCTGGAAAAAAAAAAACAAAAAAAAAACGACACGCTTTAGGTTTTTCAGTATTATCTCTCTAACGTAACGTTGTTTTAACCAATGCTTCATGTTATCCAAATAATCGAAACCGGAGGCTTTGACTGTCTGACATTATATCAAGATTCATATTTCTCACTTTTTCTTATGTCAAACCCAGATTTTGCCTAACAGTTTGAACTTTTAGAACAAAGCTTAATGTATAAAGAAAGAGATGCTATATAATAACAGAGATTTCAGAGGAGAAATGAGAAAGGAAAGTGAAAAATAAAACTTAAGGCTAATGAGAAGTGAAATGAATCATTCAAAGTTGAAGTTGGACTCTGTGGAAGAGAAAACAAGACGGTCAAATCTGTAATCACCATTTTTCAGCCGTTAAACATTGTTATTTTTATAATTTATTATTATTATTATAAAATATTATTATTTACAAATTCAAACTCATTTACAAACCCAATACTTAACCAAACCCAAATTCGGGCCCAAACCAAAACCCAAACCTGGACCTAAAATAAAACCCTAGCCCAACACCTAAACATCTAATCTAACCCTAACCCTAACACATCTCTTCAGCAACAATCGCCGCCAAGATGGGTTCCAACAGCCGCCGCTCAAGTCTGTCCAAGTCCAGCTGAGTCGATCGTTGCTCCTGTCAAGCCTAGCCGAACCAAATCTCATCAGAGATCTCAACAAAGTCCAAAAAATTCGAGCATTAAAAGAAAAAATCAGCATGCATAGTGTTGTCAGAAGCAAGTAGGATTAGGTTTCAGTTTTTTTTATAAAAAAATCTCTATAATCGGGTATAAAAACCTGAAAATTAAGATGTAAGGGAACTTTTTTCCCACTGATTTCAAAGCAATACAAGAAAAAAAAACATTTCTAAGAGGTAAAAAAAGTTTTAGTTTTTTTAGCTTTCGAAAAGTAAATAAAAAAGGGAGATCGAAGGGTTTATTTGAGAGAAGAAACCGAAGGGTCGGTTCATCTTCGCGGTGGCCGAATATAGGGGAATCGAAACATCGAGGGGTTTTTGGGGTACTTAGGAGCATTATTTGGTGATTTTAACCCCAGACCGGGGCTTAGGAGTGTGAAACGAATCATATGGGGTCGTTTGGGGGTCGGTTTTGGAACCCCGACCACTATGTGTGGTGGCCGAAACAACGGTTGGGATGGTGGTGTGAAGGGCCGGCCGAGAGGGAGAATGGAGAGTTTTTTTTATAGAAATAAGTTAAAATGAAATAAAAAAAGGAAATGTGTTTTATAAAAGAAGTTTAGGGTGAAATCACGTCTAAGTCCCCCTAAGATTGTCGTGTTTTTGAGTTTTGGTCACCTGTGAGGACCAAATCTGTTATTTACCCTTTTCTTTATGGAACCAACATCGTCATTTCCCCTCTTTCATTCATGTTATGTATTGATTGGTATAATTTCGTTCATGTCCCCCTAGTTTTAGCGTGTTTTTACATTTTGATCACATACAGTGATTATTTAATTTTATTTTAATTTTGTTGGCCTAATTGTGTAATTTTCACATTTTTTATTAATGTATATTTGGCTTATTAAAAATGAAAATCACCATTTAGTCCCCTAGTTTTAGCGTATTTTTGCACTCAAGTCCTAAGTTTGTTTATGTTTTAGTTGCTCAATTCTCATTTTATTTTAATCTGGTCCCTTTTTAATTACATGTTCAATTTATTTTTCCCTATAATTTAATGATAATGCAATTTAATCCCTGCATATTTAATTTCTTATATTTTAATTTAAATGTTTTGTTTGTTATTTCTTAATTTTAATTTATTTAATTTTTTTATGACTAATATGTTTTTCCATTTAATCTAATTAGTTAGTCCATTTTATTTCTTGTTTTAATTTGTCCCATTTTTATTGTCATTTAAATTGGTATGATTAATTGACATTTCTAGCTTTATATAATTAAAATTTTAGAAAGTTGTCCTTAGATTAGGATCTTCTAAAATTTGATTTAGTAATTAGGGTTTCACCTTAGTTTTAATTAGGGAGCAATTTGATTTGAGTTTTTGCATAAAATGTCCGATTACTTGAGTCGATTGTTCGAATTCCTAAATTATCAATCATTAACTAATTTTAAAGGCTACTTAGTTTAATCCCTTAATTTTTAATAATTAATTAGGACAATTATTAGAACCTTGACTTATTAGTTAGTCTTTAAACATTAGGTGTTATAGATTTAATCCTTCTACTTTAGCTTATTTACATTTAGGTCTCTGGATTTTAGTTCTCTTATATTTTTAGTACTTAAACTTTTAATTAGCATTTTTAATTAACATAATTAAATAGGTAATTAATTAGAGCTTCCGCTTTAGGTTAGAGTTTAATCTAGTCCATTTAATTTAGGGTAATCTGAGTTGGCCCTCGCCCAAATGTTCAAGGGACCATATCGATTATTCAATTTAATAATTGGTTAAAATCAAGTAGGGCTAATAATATAGTCTACTTTTTTAGGCTTGGGCCCTTAGGTTTTTAATTTTCATAATTTGATACTTTAAGATAGAAACCTTAATCTACCCTTAGTTTAATTAGGGTTAATAATAAATTGTTGATTGCATATTTTAAAATCTAAGGCAATGTTCAATTATAGGGAGTCAATAATATATCTCCACAAGTATGCTCAAGGGGTGACTACTGGTGATTCTCGAAATAGGTTGACATCTTTTCAATACCACATCATGATTTCTAAATATCGAGGCAATGTAGATTTTGGGCACAATACGATCTCTCGCATTCATGCTAGGGGCAAATGCTATTGGCTTTAATAAAAATATACTTTTTAACTTTGCATCTGTAATGATTTTTAAATTAAATAAAATTTCGAACTCAAAATTCTAATTTTTAAATAGGGTAATCAACTAGGTACCGATTTTTGGGCGATGTGGGGTGCTAATCCTTCCCCACGCGTAACTAACTCCCGAACCTGTTTTTTTTTCGCAAACCCCTAAACTTGGTATTTGGTAAATAAAGTTTTATTAAAATACCTAATTTTATGGTGTCCAGATCGTACTTTAAAATGATTGGTGGCGACTCATCACATTTCAAAAATCTTTTAAAGAAAAACCCTAAGTCGTACTAGGTTTTCCCCACCGGGTGAAAAATGGTGAAGACAGTTTGGCAACTCTACTGAGACATTTTGTTTTCTAAAAACTGAGAGTCGAGCCACAAGTTGGTTACCCTATATTTAGGATTATGAAAATTATGAGTTTGATCTTATTATTTATAGTTCATTATGTTTTAAAAATAGATTTCTCTCTGGTTAATACTTACATTTTGTGAATTTATTTAGGATTGTTGCATATTATAGCTCTAAACCTGAGCTCAACCCGGTTTGCTTAAGTAGGGGAAATGTCAACCTCATGGGAGCATGAGCTTCCTCGTGTGGGTCAGCAAACTACCTCTGGAAAGCATAAGTTGTTTGTCGGATATCAGTTCCGAGATACTTTTTAGTGATGTGATCCCCTAAGTTGAATCTGATTTGTAAGTCTATAATGGGCCAGAATCAGAGTCCTTGTTAGCCTTAGCAGGTTATAAGGATAGTTTGGGAACCCTTTACTATAACCCAACCTCATCTAGAGAATTTAGTAGACCTACACAGCTAGAGTCATGTGGAAAATTTAAGAGAATTAGAACGTATGCGATTAGGTTTTTTATTTTGTGTTTTATGTTAATTAGCATTTTTATTCTTCTTTTTTTTGAATTAATTTAACTTTACTATTAGCATTCATTATTCTTTAAATCCTTTGAATAAATTAACTTTACTAACTTATCTCTTTTGTCTCTTATTTGTATGTATCATTCTCATTTCGTTTCATAACATTACATAGAAGATATTGATTCTTGAATCGTCTGGTTACTATAAAAAGGGTTTAAGGCAGCGTTGCGTTGTCTTCCGGTAGGATTGAGAATGTGATAAATGTTCAGAATTGGTCAGAGTATGAACAAACACGGTTTAAAGATAGTATTGTAGCCGATAAAGAATATGTGATGCTATAGTAGGTTATTATAAGTGTCAAACAAACACATTGGGCAGAGTTGTCAAGAATCTAAGCTAGTTGGGATGAGACCAAGAAAATACTATTCAGGAAGTCTATGGAGACGTAATAGAGTTAAAGGGTACGATTGCACAGTTGCCGTTCAAACTTTGGTTAAATTCTGGAATCCCATGTATTGTTGCTTTACCTTTGGCAAAGTATACACGACCCCTACCCTCAAAGAGTATATTACCCTGCTAAACATACCAAATGTCAAAAGGTATTCACTTTACACTAAGGCATTCCGACTCAAAGGATTCATAACCAAGATTGTCGCTTTGACTGGGAAGATAAAAGAATGGGTCAAAGAGTATATTCAGAGCGATGGGATCTCGTGTGCTCAACTGAAATGTTTGTTCTATGAGCAACCATCGTAAAAAAAATGAGAGATCAGTTTGCACTCGCTATATGGTTTGGTAGTTTCCCGAAAATGAAGATCACTTGATTATCATAATAGATTTTGCGAAGTCATTGATAGGAAAACAAATCCCGCACCAGCCATCTCCAGAAACATTCATGTCTTAAATAAGTGTAGGCGATCAGTCGGTGGTCAATTTACTGGTTGTGCATCTCTTGATAGTATGGTGGTGGAGCCATTCCTTGATAGTCGAAAGGGGTTGTGCCATTGGCGACTTTCTTGACAAATGCAAGATTCCAACCTCGCAAAAGGAAAGACTGGATTGAGGCTCTACGAAATATGAAATATCGAAGTAGTCTGGAAAGCGCATTGGTTGCCCAAAGAAGACATATGTACAGATGCAACAATGCAATGTGTTATGTTACATGGACTATGGGGAGCATTGGCTACACTCCTTTGATGGTACTTCGACAGTTTAGTGCTCGACAGTTCATACCAGTTACTCATGGATTAAAAAAACAGAGTTTTCATTTCTACCCCGAATATAGACCGAATCTCCAAGATACAATGCTGGAAAATCGTTGTTTCATGAATTCCAAAAATAGAACCAACATTCACGTCGGCCTATGAGGTTTGGAGGATAGGGAGAATCAACGATAACATCCCGAGACCAAATTTAGAAGATGAGTTGACCATGGAGGAACGATTAAGAAGGCTCTCAACTGAAGCCGAGCTATTAAGAGAAGAAATCAGGCTGATGAATCTGGATAGAGAAAAAGAACAAAGAAGTTTCTTAGAGAAAACGATGTGGGAACTCGAGCTAGTAAAGCGAGATGGGGTGATAAAACAGTTAACCAAAGAAAATGAAAGAATCTAAGAGAATTTCGATGCACTAGACCGAGATTTCAGAGATTTAGAAAAGAATATGAAGGCTAAGGGTCTAATTTGGAAGTATACTGAAAGCTCCATAAAAAGAAAAAAATTTGGTTTAACTCAAGTTTTTATTACAGACTTTGGTTTGTTACTATTTCGCTCTTTCTATCTTTACAACAATTTGTTGATGTCTTGGAGAGCATAATGTCGCCATGGTTGATCCTTTTTACTCTTTTAAAATTCGTAATTTTTATCCAAAATTTTAACTTCACATTTATTTTAGGATAATTACAAGTTAATATCCTCAATTATTATTTTTATTTCGTTTTGATCATTTAATTATTTATGGTCGGATCTATTAAAAAAGATAGAAAAAGTTATGATGGGAAGCAACTTACAAAGTAATGTCAAAATAAGATAAAATTATTTATTAAATTAATAATAATACTTAAAAATAAATTTATTTAAGTGGCAAATGGGTCTTTATATAATATTTATAGTTTTTATTAAAATATTTTTTTAATATAAACGTAATTAAAACTTAAAACCACTTAATTTTCGATGAATTTGTTTAACGATTATAGTTGAATTTATGTTTAAATTAAAATATTCATCCCAGATTAAGCTCAAACCCAATAATACTATGGCCGGTTCAAATCTCCCGGATATAATAGGCTTGAATGGGCCAACGTTTTCTGAGTTAAGATTTGAGTTTAGGTTTAGCCCGACCTAGTTAGCCCAAATCCTCAAGTAACTGCTTCTTTAACCACTAATAACAACTGCAACTATCTTCAACTGAGATTAAATCAGACTGTCAGCTGGTGTTATCGTACGCAGTGGTGTATAAGAGATTAAGAGTTTAATTTTACTAATTTTAAAATCAAAAGTCTTAAAAGTAATTAATAAAATAGACATTTGGAACTAAGACTTAATTCATTATTTTAAAACTACATGATCTTAAAACAATTATACTAAAATATTTTGGAAGGAAGAAGAATTAATTCCATGGTTTCAAATTATTTGTGATCTAAATGTAATTAGACCATCAAACTCTTAAGCTTCAATGGTAGAAAATTGTTAGTGTGAAATGATCAATTCATGATTTTTTTAAATAAGTAGTTAGTTATTAAAAAAGTGAAATATTCAAATTACAATAAGGTTTATAACTATCATCGTAAACTAAAATATAATTTGGACATTTTCTTATCACATTGAAACTAGTCCCTTTACATCATAGAAGGTAAAGGTTGAAAACTCAACCAAAAACTTAATCAAAAATAGATACAAACAAAATGACTGCGTCGACAAACGAACCACAAAAGGGGATTAAGCTATTGAAATATCATCAAGAATTGCAAATTAGACCAAGCATCGTGAAAAACTATACACGAACATAAAATCACGATCCAAATTTAATCTGAGGTCTATAGTAGGAAAGATCACATGATTACAAATAAGCACCATATTGATTAGTCGTGACGTCGTCAATCCAACCCTAAAAAAAACATAAAATAAAAAGAGCAACCAAACATGAAAAGACGAAACTTACAAAAAACAGGAAAAAAAATCTGTCATAAAAATAGAGAAAAACGTGCCACAAAATATAATTATGCCTATTAAAACTAAAAAAAGAAATAAAGAGAAAGAGAATCTGACGTCGATAACCACATCAAAACCGATTGTTATCGGTCAAACAAAACTAAAGATTGATCCGATCTATAAGAACGGATATAACTCTAAGAGAAGAAGAAGAAAAAAGAGTCGGAAGGAGTTCGGCTCATCAAATTCATGATTTTATTCCAGCCTTTGGAGTGATATTACATATATATTTGTTATTTAAGCATTAAGGTGTGAATATGTTGCTGTTATTCTTTATATTTTTATAAAAAATAAATAAATATCTATGCTCCATATCCGTATAGAACATAAATTAAACAATTTTCAGACGGTCATGGTTATGATACACACTAAGTGCACGTTTCGTTGGATTAGAAACGAAAATCTTATTATATTTTGTTTTTAATATTATTATCAGAGAGAATAAATTATAATAAGGATTAAATTTGAAAATATCGGTAGAATATCATTATCACTTATTTCTAGATATATTCTTATAGATATATTACATTTAATTTTGTCTCTGAAATTTATTATTTTAATTTTTAATTAATATGTCATGGATCGGGTGATTTGTACGAATTTAAATATAAATTAAATATATATAATTATTTAAATTTGGCTATAAAAATACAATTCTATAGATAATTTGGAACGAGTTAGGGTGGGTTAGGTCCAATTATTGGCATATATATTAATTATATGATACATTTTTTGAAAAAATATTATATTAATAATATGTTAAATGTAAATTTAAACTAAATCCAATGGGAAGAGTTCCATAAACTTTTGATTAAAGAGTTCCATAAACTTCATAGCTAATATCTTTAATTTAATATTAAAAATTTTTTTAAAGAACCTTCAAGGAGTTTTTTTTTACATTTTAATTATTTTCTGAATTTTGAGTTTTTTTATTTACAATTTTAATGCATGACAACCTCTCACTGATTCACAAAACTGTTTTATGGTTAAGGGAAAAAGTGAAAGACGGAATTAAAATAAAGGGCTAAACTGATAAAAGTTATAATAAAGGCATAATATCAAAATTAGCCTTAAATATTTATTAAAATGATCATTTTGACTTTAATTCTTTTTAAGGAATAGTTTGATCTCAATATTTCATTTTGGAGAAAAAATCCCTCTACACACTCTCAAATAGGAGGCTTTTTACCCTAAAATAAAATATTGAGGGCTAAAATACTCTAAAAATGAAGAATAATGGCCAAAGTAACTATTCCGTCAAACATTAATAGTCTTTGTAGACAGTGATTTTTCGTCCCATGATATTATTATTATTATTATTATTATTATTATTATTATTATTAAATTTATTACTTAATTATTACTAATTACATTACAGGCCCAAATCACAGCAAAAAAACCCAGCCCAAATAACATCCATACCCAGTTACAACTTTAAAATGGCCCAACCGGTTCAGCCCAAATCTGACAGAAACCTTAAACACATTAGGGTTTCAGGTGACTTTTCCCTAGTCGCCACATTCAGATCCACCGTTTGATCGCTGTACGTGCGTTCCACGCGCCCACCACCTTTGTCTCTTCAGCCGCAGTTGATGTCAGAGTCCATAAAAAATCAGAGTATAGAAATGATGCCCGTTCTAAAGCAAGTTAGGGGCGGTGGACAAGACAACACCCGTCCCCAACACACCACAAGCCTCATAAAAGCAAAACCATAAAAAAATCAGCGGGGTCGAAAAGAAAAATCAGGAAAAAAAAAACCACAAGCCAAATGAGATTTGAAGAAAAAATAATAAAGGAAAACAAAGTGAGAAAAAGAAAGAAGCATACCACCACTGCTTGTCACCGGAGAGAATAAGCCTTAGAAAACTGAAGGTAACCCTTCGTTTTCTTTTAGATCTAAGATGATAGGGTTTTATTTAGGGGAAATGATGCTAGGATTTGGGTTGAGGGAAGGCTAGGGGACTTTCTGGGTGTTTTTTTATCTCTTGTTCATATAATCTCTTATGTTCTTATCATATATCTTATATCTCATTCTTATAACAGATGCAATAACTCATAACACACATATATCATTTCATACAATTCGTATCACACATCATATATATATTAGATACATTATATTTAGGATTATCTCTTTATTAGCCCATGTAAATTATTGAGAACTTAAAGTATTCGAGTACATTGAGGTTGTGCACTATTGTTGTCACTACAGCTCGTATAAGTCCCAATGAGTGGCATATGAAATTTGTCCCGAAGGACCTATGTATTTGTCCCGAAGGACCGCGTAGACCCTCGACTCTTGGCATGCCAACTATACCTATAACTCTTGTATCATATAACATGGGCATTATCATTTATAACAGTTCATATCATTGCTCTTATAATCACATATTTCTTTTCTTCTGTCACATACCACATGTATGTGTAACCATCTATCTCTTATCATATAACATGTATCACGTATTGCATATTCATATGTCACATAGTTCATATCACTTTACATGGAATCACGTAGGTTGTTTCATATGGCTTATATCATTTCTACTTTGTTCATATACATATGCCATATATACATCACATAGCGCATAAAATAACATATCATGCATATCACCTAGTTGATATCAGATTTTTCATATATTCATGTAGTTCAATATAACATATCGTATATAATAACATATGACACATATACACATTTTCATGTACTCATGCACACAAAAAAATCACATAACATTTTAGAAATTACTTCTTACCATAATAACTCCGTCATTGGCTCATCGCAAGCCAATGTTTGATCGATAACATAAATACAATCAAATTATACTCACTTTAGCCTTGCTTTGATTCGATCCTAATTCTTTGATTGTTCTGGAACTTGTTTAGGCTCAATATAGACATAAACATAATTTCCGAGACGATTATCAGAAGCCTAAACCTTATAACTTTGTATTAATAACTTAGGCTAATTTAATAAACCAAACTTTAACTTTTCCTTTAGGAGTGTATCGATGCACTATGTATGCATCGATACCCAAAATAACTTCAAAATTTCCATGTATCGATGCACCTTCAAAATTGGTCTTAGTACATCGGTGCCCATTCATAGTGTATCGATGCACCTGTCAATTATAAATTGATTTCACCCTAAAAATCCATAACTTTTCATTAAAATTCTTCATGTTTCATTCCCTTTTATATTCTTCACTCAAGTTCGTATACTTAAACTAATTTCTACTCATTCAATACATCTTTA